CATCACAAAGCGGCAGTAAATGGAAAAGGTCACTCAGTCAGTGCCTCTGGGCAGAGGTCAGTGTGCATTATGGACTGGAGAAGGGAGGAGAGGCAGAGCCCTTCTACTCTGAGAATGTCAGGATCTGCGGGGACCCTGGATGCCCTTTGCTTCAAAGACAACAACAGAGGGAAGGATGCATTTTTCTGGAAGAGAAAAAAGTGACCGCTCCCCTTAGTGGGTAGAATGTTTTCTATTTTCATATGTCATCACTCCACACCTAAGGCTCCCTGCAGTTTCAGATTGTGAGGACGGATGCAGGGGCACACACACACCGTCCTCGCTGCCGATGTAGAAACAGAAGTACAGAGAGACTGTGCCTGGTCCATACTCTTCAGCAGCCATGGAGAGGTGTAAATCCAGCTCCAAGGCTCACTGCTCCAGCACTGGAGGGGCACAGGGACACTCAGGAGCTTTCTGGAGCCCAGTGCTAAAGCTCCCATGCAGCCTGCAACTGGCAGGCAGCTGAACCCAGGTGTGAGTGTTTCGCTTTCCAGGCCTGAGCTCAAGAAGAGGGAAGAGACTGCCTGTGTTGTGATAACTCACAGGAAAGTCAGCACACACACACACCCCCCCCACCCCCGCCAGTACACTTCCAGCAAGCAGGTCCAAACAACACCCCTGGGCCAAAGCCCTCTCCCTGCTGGAAAAGCAGGTGGGTGTCACTGGAGTCTGCCTTCAGTCTCCCTGCTGTACCTCATTGGTTAATTGCTTTGCCTGAGGTTACTGAGAGCTGTCTTTTGGGGGAGCGAGGTAGAGAAATGAATGCTGGAGAAATGTGCTCCATGCAGCGGTGAGCTTGCTGCGATTCCCTGCTGGATACACAATGTGCTTGTCTCCACAGCCCGCGGACAGGCAGGCAGGGGGAAGCAGACAAGGAAGCCCATGGGGTTGGGATGTGCAAGGAGAACACAAGGAGACTGCAGTCCAGCAGACGAGGCAACACACAGTTAAAGGGAGGCCAGAGAGGATTGGAGAAGGCTTGTTCCTAAGATTAAGGTTCCAGAAGTGAGGAGACCTGTATTCTGAACATCTGTTTCAGTTCTGCCACTGACCAGTGTTGCAACCTTGAAGCTATGACTTCTCCTCATCCTGGGGTGAGGGCATAGTTTTCCTCATCAGTCAAATGAGATGTAGTAGGTTTGGGTGGTGCAAATGGCTAACGAGCTCAGTTGATAATGGAAAAGAGGTTGGAGTCCACTCAGAGGAGTCTCGGAAGAAAGGCCTGGTGATTGACAGCTGAAAGATCATAGCATGGGGCCGCCAGGCATCTCTCTCTCTCTGTGTGTGTGTGTGTGTGTGTGTGTGTGTGTAAAACAAGATCTGTAGTGTAAACTGCTATAAACTTGACCACGTTGAGGTGATTCCAACTTAGAACCTGATTGGTCAGCAGCTGCCAGTCACCACGAAGAATTCTGTAGACATGCTGTGGGTCAGAGCTGGGCTGACAGACTGAAGGAAAGGTGGTATTGATCTTTCCCTAAAAGACAAGCCCAAGATGTCTTTTAAAAGTGTTCACCGGTTTTGGGGGAAGAAAACCTGGCAAGTTCTCTCCAATGAGTACTTGGTGGAACTAAGGAGTGAGGTAGAAACTGGAAGAGCGGATGGGGGACGCACCAAGAAAGGGTACAGAACATAATAGCAGGAAAAGCCTCTAGAGGGATCACCTTGGGCTCTGGCCTGTAATTTGAAGCAGTAAGTTTGGGAAATAATGTGGAATAATAGAAAGAATCACTTGATGTGCATCTGAGAGCTAAACAATGAATAGGATGACAGAAACAAAAATTAACACCTTTGTGCTATGGTGGTGAAGAGCACTGAATATTGCACTGATGGCCAAGAGAACAAACAGATATATCTTGGAGAGGGTGCAGATGGAGTGTTCTTTGGAGGTAAGAATGATGAGGCTTTGCCTCACATACTTTGGACACGTTGTTGTTGTTGTCGTTGTTATGTGCTGTCGAGTCGTCTGCAACTCATAGCAAGCCTATGTACAATAGCCCTAAACTCTGCTCTATTCTGTGCCAACCTCACTGTTTCTGACACACCTACTCCCATTACCCCAGTCACTCAATCAATCCTTCTCATCAAGGGTCTTCCTCTCCCACGCTGTCCCTCCACCCTCCCAAGCATGACGTCCCTCTCCAAAGACTTGTCCCTCCTTACAATATGTCCAAAGTATGTCAGACGAAGCTTCAAAATCCTTGACTCCAAGGAGCATCCCGGCTTCACTCTCTCCAGAAGGGCATGATGCTGGGAAGGGTGGAAGGTCGGAAAAGGAGAGGAAGGCCCTCAACCGGCTGGACTGACACGGTGAATGCTGCAATGGGCTCCTGTGTGTCAGGAAGTGTGAGGATGGTTCAGGATAGAACAGAGTCCAGATCTTTTATTCATCAGGTCACTATGTGTCATACTTGA